CCCACGAATGATGAAGTACCCGTCTTCATCATAAGAATCTTTAAAGCGTTGCTCTAGTCGCTACTTCCTATGAACCCATCGCGACTTCCTCAGGTTTGCACTTCTTATGGTGCAAACTTATTCACGAAGATAGTGCATACTCGCACTCTCGCACTCCATCCAAGACTAGTAATTACACGAGCTGGGCTTCTTTTGGCGTCAGTTTCCCATACGTTAGTGGCTCCTAGGACGGCCATCAGAAGGGTATACTATGACAACTCTCCTTAACGTGAGGTGTTAGAAAAAAAAACCACTTAAGGCTCTTCTGTGAATAGTCGCAAGTTCTTCCCCTACGAGGTAGTCTGGGATACTCCTCGTCCTCGCCCGGGCGAACCTCGGATCTCAAAAGTCGGGCTGGCTCCACCACAACAGCATGATATCCTTCCGCAAAGCGGTCCACTCTGTGTCGATAACAGGGCCGACCCCTAAGACAATGAACCTCCGCCTCAGATGCCTCATAGGCAAAGAAAAAAACGTCTCCCATGGCAGGCGAACGATCTCTTGTCGCCTGATGTCAATGGTAACTTAGACGAAGAAGAAGATCACAGAAGAATAAATCATTCAGACATACGTGCATTGACAAAGAGAGGGCATTCGGGAAAGAATGGGCGACCTTAGAAAAATGTTTACGTTCAATTGATTTCTTCTCCTTTGTGATCGCTTCATTCTTCGTCACCTTTCTTTTTTTCAAGTTTTAGTTCGAAGCATACATACAAGCGTGAAGATGTGAGAACAATCAATCATTCGTCATCTCACTGTCAAATCCTATTTCGTTTCAATAAGCCTCACTTGCAATCAGATCAAACAACAAGTTAAAAAAGAAAACAATGCAAACTCAAACTCATGTCATACTTTCATTCACACGCGCAAACACATATTTTCTCTACCTTTTCAGTGAACATTCAAAAAACAAGGCCAAGCAAAGTGCGGGTTCCCATAGGTGTGAAGGGGTCTGAGTCAAAACTGACCTTGAGTGAAGTTGAAGCGACGACGCATTCAAGAAGACCGTGTCAAATCGCGCTTCAGATGAGACAATCGTTACAACGAGTCGTCACTAAAGCGATCCACATCGCTCCCTAGAACGATCGTGACACCTTCTCAACACCCAATCACCTCCCTGTAATCTGACTACATTGTAGCGTCGCTGCCACTCGCCACCAATGTCAATGTGTCGCTGCTGTGTCATAGACAACACAACGTCAATGCTACCACTTCGACGACACCTCTCTGAGTCAATACCTGACCGCCGTGAAAACTAGGCAGCGCTTCCGCACCACTGTCAAAAACTCACTGCTGACGCCAAGAAAATGCGGCAACGCTTTTGTGTCGCGACTCAAAATGCGATACCGCCGCCACGAAAAACGAGCAGCGCTTCCACGTTACCACTCAAAATGCGTTGCCGCTGCCGCAAAAGTTCGGCAGCACTTCCACGTCGTTGCAAAGAAAGACACTGAAGACGCCACAAAAGTTCGGCAGCACTTCCGTGTCGCTGTAAAAAAAAACACCTTCGACGCTGCAAAAGTTCGGCAGCACTTCCTCGTCGCTGCGAAAAAACAACGTCGACTCCACAAAAGTTTGGTAACACTTTCACGTCGCTGTACAAAAAACACCATAGACACCGCAAAACTTCGGCAACACTTCCGTGCCGTTGCCGCAAAAAGCAGCAGCAACAGAAAAATTCCCACGAGAAATGAAAGTCGAAAAAATATTCCATAAAAAAAAAATCCTTCATATTTATAAATTATCATTCCAATATTTGTCCAATTCTAAAATTTTTAGATTTATTTGATAAGTCCCCGTCTAAATATGAGCTTTTCTGTCCAAGTACATCTATTTGTTCACGATGGAATGAAAGGTTATACGAGTTTATGAAATGTTTTAATTAAACTTTCATTCTACTACAATAAATATCTTCTAATTTAGATTGGATTAACATATTTATGATTGAAAATCCTTACTTAAAATGACAGTCCAATTAAAATATTTCATGAACTCATCCCGACTTTCATTCCATCTCTAGCATGCAGTTCAAATAAGAAGGGATACCCCATTCTAGGAAGAAAATTTTTCAAGTAAGACGGAAAATTTTGAAATTAGAATGATATTTTTTAAGATGGAATGAAAATTTAAAATTTAGAATGTAATTTTACTATAGAATGATTATTTAATTCTGGGAAAGTATCTCCCCCACGACCGTCGCTATGGCTGCGGCTATGGCCGACAACACCTCTACCCTTGGTGAGATGGTGGCTATGGCAGCCTCCTCTCTCAGCCTCTACTGCAGACCTCCACTACTGCTCCCTTCTCCAGCCAACAATCCCTCCTCACTCAACAGCTTCAGCAACTCCTCTCCCCAACTGGCCAACACTCAAGTAGAGTGTGGGTGGCACCTCAAATGTATGAGGCAACTGTTGGCCAACCCAGCTTTTATAGTTGGCCAAAGGCTGAGGGTGGCTGCTTGCCCTCAGCCAAAAATCGTAGATGGCCCCAACCCTTGATAAAAAACGAGATTAAAAGCTGAAATCCTTGATGTTCCCCTAGGAACACCAGGCTCCCAGCCCCAGCAATGCAACTGGCTACTACGCGAGGCCAAACGCAGTTGCAAATGGCTGCCTCAGCAGACTGTTTGAACCCAACAGTCTGCTGTCAACTCAGGGTCTAGATGTTTTTTTGCCCTGCATCTGGTCTCGAGGCCGCGATCAGATTCGCAACCTTTTTTTTTCCAACTCTTCTTCACCCCTTTCCCCTTCATTACTTTGGCAACCTTGTTTTTCCCAAAAAAATGGAAGAAAAATAAATTAATTAAAAAAAAGGAAAAAAAAAAAAAAAAAAACTACCTTGTTTTCCCTCAGCCCTACTTTGCTAGCAGGGTGTGCTCACCAATGCCCGTTGAGCCACCCCTTCTGCTAAAAAGCAGACCCAAGTTCAAACCCCATGACAATCAAATGGGGATACCAAGAAGTACCCCAATTTTGATGATTTTTAATTAAAACTCACTATATAAAAAAATATGAAAAACATCAAGCGCGTGGGTTAGGTGCCCACGCATCCACAAAAAAAAAATCCAAGTCAGAAAAAATAATTTCGGCCACCAAAACAATGTTGGCGCGAACCAAAAAACAAGAAAAATAACTCTTCCCCCTTCGAAGCTTTGAACCTTTTTTTTTTTTTTCTTTTTTTTTTCCAGGTGCCTTGTCAACGAGGTAGAGCAAATCTCACGTGAGGCATCAACTACCACACTCACCTCATACTCACACTAATGCTGTAGTGCTCTGTATTTTTTTCTTCTTTTTTTCTCTTTTACATTGGCATAAGCCAATGGCCACTTCAAATTCGTTGTACATCCACGAACTGCTGAAATACAAACATGGGTTCGAATCGTAATGAAAAGGGGGGTCCCCTTGCCGCATCTTGGCCTTGCCAATGAGGCAAGGCAATTCATGGTGCCATTGGGCATTCATGAACTGTTGAAACACAAACTCAAGTTCGAATCTAGATGCAGCTAGGTGAACGGGGGTGCGCCCTTTTTCACAGTTGTTGCCCCTCTTTCATATCCTGTCAGCAATGCAGGGCAGTCCGTGGGCCCTGACCCCCCTCCGGTATCTATGGGACCACTGAAGGCCGTATCAGTTTAATCAATGAGTATTTGGTAATTTTGTTTTCTGTTTTCTGAAGTTTCGAACAGTGGACCTATGGGTTTCAGTCCCAAGGTTGTTGCGTACACTGTTG